GCAACATAAACAACAACAGCAAAGGCAACAGCAGCAACAACAACAGTAGCAGCACCAAAACACATAACATCAACACCAACAACATCAGCATCAGCAGCAGCAGCAACAGCAACAACAACAGCAACAACACCACCACCAACACCAACAACAACACCGACACCAACACCAGCAACAACAGCAGCAACAGTAACAACACCAACACCACCAACACCACCAGCACCAACAACACCACCACCACTACTAACAACAACATCACCCACAACACCAACAACAACAATTTTAAGACTGTTCGCTTTTCCTTGCTCGCGTGCCACTCAACACATATATCCCGCACCCTCGATACCCGCCCTCTTCGTCTTCGATAGTACCCCCTTCGGGGTGTATCTTTCCTGCCTGCAACGTGTGTATTTCGTGTAGCACCTAAGGCAGGGGAATGACAGACGGATGGAAGGAAGGGATAACAGGGGGAGGGAAGAGCATGGAACACGAGAGAAAATAACAGGAGGGGGGCTAAGAATAGAAAACATGTGACAGGACCAGACGGGCACATCGAGGGGGTAGACTGTAACGGACGGGTCGGGAAGGCGGGCCTAGACGGCCAGGTCGAGCAAGCGGCTTGCTAAAGCGTGCGTCTTGCATGAGTCGCGAGAAAGTCTCGAGCGATAGCGCGAGTCCCTAATACATCTTGAAAAGCCACACGGAGAGCGTGATTCCTGAGTGTCGAGGGCGTGGCGTCTGAATGAACTGCAACGATGTCCCACGTGAGAACGTGATTCCTACATGAAATTCTGAGGACGCCCCCTCGCGAGAGAGCGATTTGGGAATACATTGTGGGGACATATCAGGCGGGAACCGTTGTTGTTGTTGTTGCTGTTGTTCTTGTACACCGGGGGCCAGGGGCACAGTTTGAGCAGGAACACTTTCCCTTGTAAAAACACAACAAACCCCGGGAAGGGCATTTCAATTGAAAAAGCACGAACGTTACGCGAATGCGTGAGTCCAGCATAATGCGCCATGAAGTCTCGAGCGACAGCGCGATTCCAAACTAGGTTATGAGGAGCTCCTAAACGAGAGCGCGATGCCTGAATGACGAAGGCGTGGCGCCTGAATACGTTGCGAGGAAGTCACATGCGGGAGCGCGATTCTTGGACAAATTGCGAGGAGTCCCTAGCGAGAGCTCCCTCAGTAATTTGTTAGGAAATATCGGGCGGGAGCAGTTGTTATTGTTGTTGATCTCATGTCTGAAGAATAAGTATTGTTGGTCCCCCCCCACCGGTGCAGACTGTTTTTTCTCAATCAATGTGTGCCCCTCGACGCTTGCACCCTGTTTTTTGACAGGGGAAATCTTCCTGCTCAAACTTGGCCCCTGGCCCCTGGGTTACAACAACAACGGCTCCCACCTGAGACTTCCTTACAAATCAGCTAGGACCCCCGATCCCGCCCGAGACTTCCTCGCATTTTATTCAGGAGTCGCGCTCTCGCTTGGAACTTCCTTGCATTTTTTTCAAGAATCGCTCTCCCGGCGCTCTGGAGTCGCGCTCTCGCTGGAGACTTGTTAGCAATTTACTGAAGAATGGCCTTGCGTTGGAATTTCCTACAATTTGCCTAAGCGCCGCGCTCCCGACACCCAGGCACCCAGGAGTCGCGCTCGTTGTGGCCGCATGTGCATGCCCTTCGTGGCCCCGCTGTCGCCATTTTTGTCCCCCTCACTGTCCTACGCGGCCCAATTGCTACTTTCAGTGGCCCCATAGTTGCATTCTGTGGCCCCGCATTATCTGCACTTTGTGGCCCCCGTTCGTTCGCGCTCTTCGTGGCCCCATACGCATTCCCTTCGTGTCCCCGCTGTCGCCCTTTGTGGCCTACTTCGTGCCCTTCGTGGCCCTGCTGTCGTTCTCTCTCGCTCTCGCTTTCGCTCGTCGTCGCCGTCGTCGTCGTCGTCGTCGTCGTCGTCGTCTTCGTCGTCGTCGTCGTCGTCGTCGTCGTGGTCGGTCCCCTGTCCGTCCCTCTTGGGGTCGGGTCGACGGTCCGCGGCCGCCCCACCGATCAGCGCTGCCGCTGGCCAGGCCGACGGTCCGCGGCCGCCCCGCCGCTTGCCGGGGCCTGGCCTGCAGGGAAGAAAGGTATACCCCCCAAAAGGGGTTCGATCGAAGACGAAGAGGGCGGGTATCGAGGGTTTGGGAATACGCCTTTTTGGACACTCGAGCATATAAGGGCGAACGGTCTTAGAATGATTGTTGTTGTGGTTGAACTATCATTTCTGAGACTAATCATTGTTCCTCCCCCCCGCCCGGTGCACATTGTATTTATTCGATTGAAGTGCCCCTCCTGGGGCTCGTACCCTGTTTTGTATCAGGAATATCTTGGTTGAGCGTCAAGCTTTGTCGTTGGTCCCCGGTTTACCATCTCCCGCCTGATACTTCCTCACAATGTATTGACGAATCGCGCTCTCGCTTAGGACTTCCTGGCAATTTACCACCGAACCGCGGCTCCCGCCTGATACTTCCTGACTGAATTGCAGCATCGCGTTCTCGCATGGGACTTCCTCGTAACTTACTAACGAACCACTTCGTTAGATATTTCCTCACAATCTATCCAGGTGCCGATCCTCGACACTCAGGAATCGCGCTCCCGCTACATATTGCCTGGCGGTTCAAGCGAACTCCTCACGCTTCAACGACCCGCCCGCTCGACCCGCCCGTCGGGGCCTGCACGCCCGCAGCTCGCTGCCCTTCGCCCGCCTTCGATGCCCCTCGCTGCCCGTGCTGGTTCCGCGGTCGCCTTCGCTCGCTGCCTTTCGTGGCACCGTTGCTGGCCTCAGTGGCCCCGTCGCTGCCCCTTGTGGCCCCGCATGATATGCCCTTCGTGGCCCCCGCTCGCACGCGCCCGTCGTGGCCCCATACGCACGCCCTTCGTAGCCCCGCTGTCGCCCTTCGTGGCCCCCTCGCTGCCCTTCGTGGCCCCTTTGCTGCCGTCAATGGCCCCGCTGTCGCCCTCTGTGGCCCCGTATGCGCTTGCCCTTCGTGGCCCCCGCTCGCTCGCGCCCGTCGTGGCCCCATTTGCATGCCCTTTGTGGCCCCGCTGTCGCCCTTTGTGGCCCCCTCGCTGCCCTTCTTGGCCCTGGTGCTGCCCTCAGCAGCCCCGTCGCTGCCCTCTGTGGCGTCGGATTTTATGCCCTTCGTGGCCCACGCTGGCTTCTCTCACGATTTACTTGGGAATCGCGCTGTCGCTCGAGACTTCCTCGCGTTTCATGCAGGACCCACGCTTCAGCAACCCGCCTGCTCGACCTCGTCGCCTGGGCCCGCCTTCCCGACCTGCCCGCTATGGGTCGGCCCACCCGATGTGCCCGTCTGGTTCTACCACTTGTTTTCTGATCCTGGCCCCCCTCCTGCAAATTTCTTTCGTGCTCCATTATTCTCCCTCCCCCTTCCACCCGTCCTCTCTTCCCTCTTTTAGGGGATGCACTACAGACGCATGGCAGGTTAGGAAGATTTACCCCCAAAGGGGTACGATCGAAGACGACGAGGGCGGGTACCAAGGGTTTGGGATACACGTATGGATTGGCACGCGATCGTATATACATCTTAAAGTAAGTGTTGTTGTTGTGGTTGTTGTGGTTGTTGTGGTTGTTGTAAACCGGGGGCCGACAACGCAGTTTGAGGGGGAATACGTTCCTGGATAAAAAACAGGGTGCGAGCCCCGGGGGGGGCACTTGAATCGAATCAACACATCTCTTACTGGAAGGGGGGATCAACAACAATCCTCCTCCTCCTCCTCCTCCTCCCTCCTCCTCCTCCTCCTTCTCCTCCCCCTCCTCCTCCTCCTCCTCCTCCTCCTTCCTCCTCCTTCCTCCTCCTCCTCTCCTCCTCCTCCTCCTCCTCCTCCTCCTCCTCCTCCTCCTCCTCCTCCTCCTCCTCCCCCTCCACAATTACACAATATGAAAATACTCTCCCACTTCCCCTGATAGGGGTCCCGAAGATATCCGACACCCCCCTGCGTATTGTTTTTTTACACACAAGATTTCCGGGAAACGGGTTTTCGCTTGTGTTTTTTTTCAAAATGCTGCTCTCGCCGGGGCGCCGGCCTCATTTTCGGGCCCCGCTCGCTCCGAATCGTGTTCCCGCTGCAGCGCTGGCCTCATTTCCGTGCTTCCGCTCGTTCCGAATCGTGCTCCCGCTGCAGCGCTGGCCTCATTTCCGCGCTTCCGCCCGTTTCGACTCGTGCTCCCGCTGCAGCGCTGGCGTCATGTCCCGTGCCATGCCACAGCACACGCGCACACGCGCACACACGCACACACACACACACACACACACACACACACACACACACACACACACACACACACACACACACACACAC